ATCGGGAAGTTTGGATATGGGCTCCGGAACGAAAACGGCAACCGTCTTGTTGGGCTTCTCTCCGCCGCACGACTTTTCCATGGAAATTCCATCTTTATGAAGAAAGAACATCGCCGGTGGACATGGGAATCGCCCAACGGAACGACCCACGCGGAGATCGACCACATTCTCACCAACCGAAGGTGGAGCTTGCTCGATATCTCAGTAGTTCCATCTTTCTGCAGTGGCTCCGATCACCGCCTCCTTCGAGCGAAGGTACGATTCAGTCGAAGGCTGGAAAAGAAGGTCTGCCACAGTGCCGCAAGAAGGAAGAATGTCGTTTATGACGGTAACAGGCTGGAGGAGCTCATATCAAGTTGTGACTGGCCCATCGAGGAGGACCCAACGTACGACTACGACCGGCTTCTGAAAGGATTGCGAGCCTGCGGAGAGTGCGCCTCAGTGACTTCCGAGAAGAATGTTGAACGCATTTCGAAGACCACCAAGGAAATGCTTGAAAGAAGAAGATTTCTGAGGCAGGATCCGAATGCAACCCATCTCGAGCGACTGATGGCCAACGCCAGTTGCAGAACAGCTTTGCAGGAGGATCTCAGGAAGTACAGGCAAGCCAAGATACTGGAAGCAGCCGAAGGAAGACGAAGTCTCAAGAATTGCCGAAGGGACCTCTGTGAATATCGCGTACCGCTGGCTGCACTGTTGAACGAAGACGGGACTCCGACTTCTTCCCGATACAAGATGGAATCTATCGCGAAGAACTTCTATACCAACCTCTTCCGCTCATCAACACCCGTGCCGATGCCCGTTGTTCCCACTGGAGAAGTACCACCACGAATTCTACCTGCTGAAGTGCGCACAGCGATTCAGACCATGAAGACGTCCACGGCTCCAGGACCAGACCATCTTTCCGTCGAATTTCTGCGAGCTGGAGGACAACGTCTACACGAGATCCTCGCGTCGCACCTAACAAGTTACCTTCAGAAGGAAAGGATTCCCGACCAGTGGAGAACATCAAGAACCGTCCTTCTTTTCAAGAAGGGTGAACGGGAAGATCTTCGGAACTACCGTCCAATATGCCTTCTGAGTGTGCTGTACAAGCTTTTCACAAAGATTATCCTCGCTCGCATATCTAGGACACTGGATGAAGCCCAACCCCAAGAACAAGCTGGATTTCGCAAAGGATTCAGCTGCATGGACCACATCCAGACGGTTTCGAGGGTCATAGAAGTCTGCCGGGAATACCGACTGCCTCTCGTCCTAACCTTTGTCGACTACGAGAAAGCCTTTGACAGCGTCGAAACCAACGCCATCCTGTCTGCGCTAGTCGATCAAGGAGTGGACCCAGCTTACGTGAGGACGTTAGCCGACTGTTACAAGGACTGTACAACGACGATGCAGCTATTCCATCGCCCCCTGACCATCCCAATTGGGAAGGGGGTTCGACAAGGCGACACAATTTCGCCGAAGCGTTCTCTTTTCAAGCAGTATCACTGAAGCAGAGACGATGCTGAAGGAACTGAACGAAGTAGGGAAGAAGATCGGATTGCGAATCAATCGGAAGAAGACTCAGTTCATGAAGAACGCCCTTTGCGAAGATGCAGAAATGGAATTGGAAGGCACCCCTATCACGGAGACGTCTTCTTACGTGTATCTCGGACGTTCGATGAACATGGAGAACGACTTGAGGGAAGAACTTAACAGGAGAAGAAGAGCAGCCTGGGCCGCCTTCGGGCCTCTGAAGGAAGCCACCGACCAACTGACGGACCCGGAGCTTCGTGCCCACCTGTTCGACTCAACCGTTCTCCCGGCGCTCTGTTACGCAGCTGAGACTTGGGCTGACACCGTCGCCACTTCGAAAGCTTTAAGGACCACCCACAGAGCGCTAGAGCGTAGTCTTCTGAAGATGACCCGACACAAACAACATCTCGTCGGACTTCGCAGTACGGATATGAGGAGAATGTCCCGTCTTCGTGACCCAGCGGATTACGTTGCGAAAGCGAAGCATCGATGGGCCGGTCACATCATGAGAAGAACAGACGAAAGATGGACACTAAGAACATCGGAGTGGATTCCTCGCGAAGCAAAACGTCCCCGAGGAAGACCACCAACGAGATGGGCAGACGTGTTCGTGGAACGGATGGACCAGCTGAGAAATCAGCTGAATACGATTTTTGCACCTGGAACTCGTGGACGCAGCCACCGACGTCAGCCAAGAAGATCGTGGATGTCAGAAGCGAGGGACAGGGAGAAATGGAAACTTCTGAGCTGGGGCCCGCACGTCACGTGAAGCCGGACCATCTAAGTATCTAAGTAAGTAAGTAAGACTCTCTAGTGCAAAAGAAATAGGATTTTCGTAAAGATCGGGACCAAGAACCACTATGAGTGAAGTTTGCGTTCAATCCGAAAACCTCAATATTTTGACCAAATTTTGCGCCGAGGCCAAGAGTGAGGAGCGATCGCGCTATATCAATGTGTATTGCTTCTAAGAAGCTGGAAAAAAATAATGTATAAGTATGAGACAGGTGTCTAACGTGATTTTTGGGGGAATTACGGAGCAACTTTGGGGGAGCCAATTTTACGGCCTGAGCTTGCATGTTGGGGGCTAATAACTCTGCGAATATTACAGGTATGGGGCTGGTATTTGTTTTGCTGGACAGATCTCTGAAAATATGATTTTTAGAGAAAAGGTTGTAGAATGACAAGTTTCCAAGAAAAGTGCCTAATTGACAGTCGAAGTTGGGAAATCTGTCAATAAGGGCGATTTTGCGCGCTTATATTTCTAAGAGTTGCAGGGCTGGGGTAATCTCATACGGTTATTAACGTGTAGTTTTGGTAGCTCCATTTTTCTAGGGGTAGCTCATGCCCATAGCTTCAACGTAGGAGGCGCTATATAAAGGCGATGATGTATGTTTTGAATTTTATCTCCGTGGAGAGTGGGGATGACGGGCTGGGATAGCCGTTCTTCTATTCGTATTCGAGGGGGACACCACATATAATTCGGAGAAAATGCAGGGGCTCCGCCTGTGGGAGCCCATCTATAGACCTTCCCGGACTTAATTTTTTTTTATTTAGTTCAGGGTCTCGCAATTTCCCACTTTTCTCCCTCCTCATTTTTCCCCCTCTCTTTATTTGTGCAGCGCGTGTGATAGTTACCCGCGGCCATCTGGACCTGGTTAGGGGGCTGAAACCGGCTGGAAAGAGGTAAATAAGCTTAGAAAAACGCTATTTTTCCTTATTTTTCCTCATTTTTTCTTAATTTTTCTTATTTCTTCAATTTCGATCGTGATGTGGGGGTATAAAGTGGGCGGAGCTTGTTTGGAGGAGTTTTAGCTGTGTAAAAGCGCTGAAAGTGAGGTTATTTTTCGCTTTTTCAAATCTTTCGCTTAATTTTTCGCTAATTTTGTAGAGTTGGGAGGAAGAGGGGGTAGAGCTTCATTTGAAGGTGTTTGGGTGAAGTGGGCGGGGCTTTGGTCGGTGGATTAACAGTTTTGCAGTGGTTGATGGGGATTTGGTGGTGCTCACAATGGGGAAGTCGTGGCTGTTTGAAGCCTTGGGGTCTAAAGGTGAGGGTGTAAATCTCCAAAACTGGCAAAATCGAAGTTTTTGAGGTTGCGAAATCTCCAAATTCTCCAAATCTCCGATTTTATCGATTTTCGGAATTTCGCAACCTTCAGAATATCGATTTTAACGATTTTTGAGGTTTTGGAGTTTGAGAAACATCGGGTTTATCGATTTTTGACAATTTTTGGAAATTTCGCAACCTCCAAAACACCGACTTTATCGATTTTTGACGATTTTTGAGGTTTTGATAGTTCTCTAACCTCAAAATATCGATTTTATCGCTGTTGAGCTGTGAACTGTAAGCCCCGCCCACTTTTGATGTTATTATACACCTAATATATGTATATTTTCTTCCACTCACTCCATATACAATACCGATCATAATTCGTCAAAAAAGTCGCCGGAGTGCGGCGCACTCCGCCACACTCCGCCGCACTCCGGCGCACTGCGCCGGACTCCGCCACACTCCGACGCACTCTAGCGCACTCCGCCGCAGTCCGCCACACTCCGACGCACTCCGGCGCACTGCGCCACACTCCGCCACACTCCGACGGACTCTAGCGCACTCCGCCGCAGTCCGCCACACTCCGACGCACTCCGGCGCACTGCGCCACACTCCGCCACACTCCGACGCACTCTAGCGCACTCCGCCGCAGGCCGGCGACTTTTTTGACGAATTATGAGCGGTATTGTATGTAGCAACAGTCTCAGAAGTTGTAAAGAATTCCTTTGATGCCTAGAACATTCACTAGGATCAAATTATCAACCCCTTGGGCACGCATACAAGCCATGTCACCAAGACACGAAACTGATGTCTTGGTTAAGTTTCACGGGGAATCGAGGTGTCGGCGCGTAAGACCTCTCTAGGCGCGTTGTTGCTTTCTATCCAGAAATCCCAAAATAAACAGAAAAGAATGCATCGCCGTAACAACTGGCTTGCGCACTCTGGAGTTATGCAAGTTATGATCTAAGCGTAGCCTCCAGAGCCTCCCTGCCTTATTCATTATTAGCGCATACAAGCCAGCGATGGTTTTTTCTCATTTTAGAGCAAAGGTGAGCTAATGTTCTAAGCCTTAACGGTAGTATTTACAATTTTTAAGACTATTCCCGCATGTGATGAGGTGTTTGAGAGCTTAATTCTCAGTGTTTTTCACTAGGCTCTGACGAAGGCGATTAGGCTGACGTTAGCCAAATAAATGCTATGACAATCTTGGTAATGACTAAATCACTGAATAAACTCAATCATGCCACGATCGAAGTCGAATACGGAACATCATACATATATTTGATCGTAATATGCATTGCACCGCGACTGTCGTGCAGAGGATGTGCATGCGGCTGCGTGAGTACAATAGGAAAGGAAGTTGCCACTGACATAGATATAACGACAAACTAAAATCAGCTCTAAAACACCTTCAAACTTTGAAGTTTATTTAGATAGATCATGTAGACGACACACGACGTAGTTCACAAAAATGAGCAGACATCCGTACGAAAAGATTGCCATATTTACTATGCAGCAGAACCTCGCCAACCCCACTGCCTCTGCAACAATCTGATACCTCAAGAACGTGCAAAACGTAGTATTTCTTTTTACCCAATTGCATCAACCACACTTTTAACATCTGCTGCATTCGCACCATTAAGTAGATCATCCCACTGCAAAAGTTTGTCAGTACTTATTCTGAAGTAAGCGATTTGACGTTCACCTCTGAACCACTCCTGCAAATGAAGACTTTGCCATTGCATCATAAAAGGCTCTTTCTTTTTTGTTCGTAAAATTCCAAACAGACCAAGATCAGTTCATTGATGGAATGCGAGGTGATGTGAGGAGAGCGGACACCAAGATTAGATGCTTGTAGTTTGCCTAGTTGCTCATCATAAATATCTGCCTTGAAGGTACTAGAGAAGAACTCCTGAGCAGTGCGGATCTGAATAGGCAATCTTACGGGGACTTGATCATTGGGTGTTTCAAACTGACACTATCGACCGGATTGCCGTTTTCATTTCAATGGCGCCTTTTTGAGCTTGGCTAGTACAAATCTAAATATTTTTTGACCTCATACAATTACAGGTCACGTACGAGCTAGTAGGTTTGACGGTTCACGTAGTGCATTAGTTCTGTCGACAGCACTTGCGCATGAGGAAATTGTCTTGCGCTGAAAAGTCATGCCTGTCTTTCTAGAACAACCGGTCCGGCCACGTGCTAACATCGAGGGATTTTCGAAACAAAGTCCTCTCGCAAAATTTCAATGGCGATTCGCTTATGCTGTAAATCTAACAAAGGAAGCATGTGTGGTCGAAGTTAAGCCATTTTAAATGTGATGTATACGATACTGAAGAACTTCTTTATCTACGATACTTTCATGAACGAAGTTATGAGCATATCCTGGCGCAAAAAAAATTAATGTGCATCTACGATGAAATGAGTTGCTAAATTCTTACTAGTCCCTAGATAAAACAACCAAGTGCGGTAATTTTTATTTCAGAAAATTTTTCGAATAAAGTGTTATATTGAATATCACTATTTCATTGAAGCGCTAGAAAGAGTAATACGACTATTTCGCCCTAATGAATGCTCATAACTCCTCGTCCATAGACGATCCGCAGGAAGGCAAATTTCGATTCAGCGCTTTATGCCTCCAGTATGGTACATATGCCTCTTAAAAGGCCACTCATACATGCTTCCCTTGTAAGATGAAGCCAGCTCAATAGAGTGGTACGTAAAGATCGGCAAAAGACTTTCTGAGAAGGGAGTTACTAACGATCAAACAACGTGTACATATTCTAAACGTTCTCTGATCATGAAACCTAGACATTGGCTAAATTTTATGAGGTACGTTGAAAGTCACGCAGGTTTGTTGAGTTCTTTTATTCGGTCTAACGTTTTGGCCTCAATGCCTTCCTTAGAGACTTAAAGGCAGCGTCCAGGCAAGTCTGGACACATGGGGATCTCATGTGGATTGTAGTTTTGGGGCCCTAACTAAGGCACTGCTCAAGCGGCAACTCAGGTAGTGCTCTAATGGCTGAGATATTCCCCTCGAAACTGGCCCCCGCGAACGTATTCGGATGGATTCATGGCAGTTTCGCGCCAGGATCCACGCTTTGCGCCATAAATCCATGCAAACACGGTCGCGGGGTCCAGTTTCGAGGGGAATATCTCAGCCATTACAGCAATACGTGAGCTGCCGCTTGGGCAGTGTCTTAGTTAGGGCCCCAAAAGTACTTTCCACGTAAAAGTCCCATAGGTCCAGATCTTCCTGGACGCTGCCTTTAAGAAAAAGTCTCATGTTTTCATACTGTATAATCAAATCTCTCTTCTTGACTAGTTTAGTTCGATACCCTGGGTGCAAGCACCTCGGAATATTACATCGTAAGTAGCATATGGCCCCGGTCAGACTTCACGCGACTTAATCGTCGCGATCTAATCGCCAAGATTTCCATTCATTTTCATTTCACATTCAAAAATTACGGGCTGGAAAAGTACCACAACCGAATGCAAGTTGATCGGCATGGAATGATGTTGTAACAGTTGTCTCGTCGCGATTCAGTCGCGACGATCAAATCGCGTGAAGTCTGCCCGGGGCCTATCAAGATCTCCACCGACCAAGTCAGACGTTTGAGATACGCTGATGGCGATAAACTACTGACCAATATGGAAACACTGATGGTAATAGACTAACATATGGTATGGAGAGCTATGAGGACCGATATGGAGAGCTTAAAGGCGGCGTCTTGGCAAAATGATGGCTACTAGGATTCTACAGCGTTGCAATGGTCGACCCCTTAACTAATATATAAGTGAAGTCTGGAGCGAAAAGGCGTATCTGAAAGGCCTAAAGTCTACGCTGAAAGTAATCCGGTCCCCCTCTCCCCGTTTCTCCCTTCCTTACGAACTCCGCCCACTTACACTTACTTTACAGCACTTGTAACATGAAGAGCTTTAAAAGCGCTAATTTCATGCACTGCAAAGCTCAGATATGGGTTCAGCATGGAGAGAGGACTTTGGGTGAAAACTGGAGAGAAAGGGTGAAAAATCGGAGGGCGAAAATTTGTCGGGACGGATAGGTTATCTACAAGTGACCATATGACAGAAATAACATCGATCTCTTGTGATGAAGAGCTGCTCATTCTTGCCGCTTCGAGCACTTTGCGATGAGCGATTTTTGCTTGTAATCTAGGATAATGGGCTTGATACTGAAGTCATTGCCGCGATGATGTACCTTTCCATTACCATTTTATAAGGATCCTGAACCTTGGCCACCGCTGATGTTAAATTCGGATTCTTTGTTCGGGCATACTTAGGGCCGCATGCATTAACATCTCCGCCGGGGAGGGGATCGCAGTTCAAAAGAAAGCTTTATATCCTGAAGCTCCAGATATCTGTATTTCACGCTGTCTACCTATCAGTAAGTATTCCTACCATCCTTCACTATGAACATACTAAACAGGAGCAAGCTGTACAAGCCGCATTTTCCAGCTTTTTGTATGATCCCTTGATGATCCCGGAGGCCGACCGTTTTTCCTTCAAAGTCATTTTTATTTCTTTAAGGTTAATGAAAACATTTCAAAGTTGTATTGCTTATCTAACCCAACAGTGCTAAGCATATTGCTTATAGGAACAAATGGTGTTTTGGAGTCATGAAATTTTCGACGAACCACTAATCGAAAGTCGGGGTTTATCGGAAATTTCGATACTTCAGAAACTCATTTGTTCTCATCAGCAAAATGCTTAGCATTATTGAGTTAGATGATCAGTACAACATTAGAATGTTCTCACTAACTTTAAAAAAAGAAAATGACTTCAAAAGAACGGCCTACCCCAGGGGTCATCAGGGGATCGTACAAAATGCAGGAAAATGCGTCTTGTACAGCTTCTCGCTTCCGTCAATATGTTCACAGTGAAGGATGGTGGGAATACCTATTGATAGGTAGACAGCGTGAAACCCAGATATCTGGAGCTTCAGAATATGAAACTTTCTTTTGAGTTGCGATTCCCTTCCAGGCAGGGATGTTAATGCATGCGGCCCTTAATGTCTTGAAAAAAAGGAACATCGAATAAAACAATTTGACCTATGAGTGGCTTGGCTCCAATAGCCGTGAAGCGGGCGGTGTAGCGAAACTTGTATAAAACGACAAGTGAACACAAGAATCCCTCGAACTGACAAATGAGATAGGAGCTTCTAGTGTCTGCTGCTCATCGATTATTCGATTGAGTCTAGACATCAAAATTACAGCAAATGATGATGATAGCCAAGCTTATGCCAGATTTTCACTACGTCCACCGTTTATTTCCGATGAGGTAAAGCACGTTCTGCAACTTGTATAATGCAAACCCAGTTGGAGCGAAATGTTGTCGTCAACGCCGCAACAACATCAAGCAACAGCTAGTGCGTAATCGTTTATACGATACAGCTTGTATTACGAGAAAAGGCGTCATTTGTCCTTGCGGAAAGATACAAGAGTGTAAAGGCTACTGCATGACGAAGGCGCAGAGGCAGTATCAGTTGAGCGGGCGCGAACACGATGCGCAAGTATCTTCATCGTTGTAAATCCGGCACATCCTGCGCTCTGCGGCTGATAAGGCCGCTTTTCGCGCTCAGAGGTATTGCGCCTTCGTCATGCAGCAGCCTATACTAATTCCGCATTTGTTACAAAATCAGATGTCTGAATGCCACGCCACGTACACAGGGGAGACTGGTCGTCAACTCAGTTAGTGAACACAGTTAATGAGTAGTAAAAGACGAGAAAGCATGTCAAGTCCGCTAGGGGATCACTTGAAGGTAGATCAGCACGGCAATGGCTAATGTTGAGTGCATCATTCTATCATGAGCAAAAATCGCTGCTCGCAAACGCTTGAGGCGGCATACGTTCTTTCGCACGAAATGATTGGAAAGAATGAACAACTCTTCCTCACTAGTGACTTTATGCCATTTCTGTCATATTGTCACTTTAGATAACACACCATATTCACTACTACTGAAGCTGTCCATATCGGTCAGTCTTAGTCTATTACCTTCAGCGTATCTCAAACGTCTGTTTTCACCTGGTCGGTGGAGATCTTGATATGCTACTTACGATGTTTTAAGTCTTTAAAAAAGGCATTATTGCCAAAACTTTAGCCCCCGAACAAAGTTTTTCCAGGCTGATCTGAATTTTCAAAAATTTGGAAGATTATTCTAATTACTTACAAGTATAAACACATCACTAGCACGTTTTTATAACCCATATAAGCGACTTTCAAAAATTTTGCGACCCATTCTCGGGGGGGGAGGGAGGGGGGGTTGACAATCACGCAGATTTTTAGTTGTCTGCCCTCTGGGGCTGAGGTCTTTTAAGACCAGCCTACTTTTTAAACAATAATTAATAATGCCATTTACGGTACACCTACAGTACATTCGAAAGGCTAACAAAAAAGTTAACGGTCATCCCTAGATTTAGTGCGAAAGAAAGCTCATCGAGTGAGTTTATCCCAGGATAGTAGTCATTTTAACAAAATTCAAACCTTGACACACTTCGTATGTCAAGCGTCCCACGCGGTAGTCATTGCTTGACACACCGTGTGTCAAGCGGTCGTCAATATGTTAAAGGGCTAAAAATGTTTTCGCATTTTGGCGCTCTTCAAGGTGGGTTTTCAAAACAAGGGTAGCTTACCCCATATAACCTTTAATTTGCTTGACTTCGGGAAGGCGGAGCTTTGTGACCCAATTAAGGCCGCTCGCGCCCATGACGCACCTGCATCTCTCTTGCGCGAGTGCTCTCTGGTCATTAGTCAGCCTTAATTAGGTCATGAAGCCCCGCCTTCCCGAAGCCAAGCCAGTTGAATCAAATGGTACCAGTTCTTGGTCTAACCTGGTAACCTGCAATTAACTCCATTTGATCTCCAGTCATACACTACATTGCAAAAAAGGTAAAAACGGTAAATTTTTGAAACACCCTCATAATACAAAAGTTACTCGCTTACCGCTTCATGATCAAAAATATCGGTACCTAAGGTCACATTATCATGATTGAGATTGGAAATAAGAATGCTCGATGAATGAAATGGCAGGTAAGGTAGAAGCACAGAAATTAAGGATCCATCCTCAGTAGATAGCCCAAAACGTTTCGCTTGCAGGGTTGAAGTGGAAAGCTGTCCACGAAGAGCACGTGCAAATCCTGGCGTCATGACAGACTGAAAAGTTCTTGATCAAGTTTTGCGCTTCCCAGCGAATATGATTAACAGTGATCCCAGTCAAATTACCTAGAGAGCGATAAAGTTGTGGAGGTGAACCTAAGCATCTATTCTCCGAAAGTGTAATGGATTAGACAGATACAGACAAGAAGAAACCCATCTCCTACTTCGTGCAATCATTTTCGTGCTACTTGCTCTTGATATAGCGACGTAATCAATGAGTCTGTCGTCACTGACCGCTCGACTGCAGCTTTCAAGAGTAGTGACTGCATGAAGCAATTCGTTGCAGTCTGTCCCAATCCAAATCAGGCCAATTGAAGTAATGCCAACCGGCGTCGTTGCGAACTGCGTGAAGGCTAGGCTACTACTTGCCAGCTCTCTCTACAATATCTCCGTTCTCTTCAACAGTGCGCTGCAAGCGCGCAATAAGCCAATATTTCAGCCTAATCCCGATTGGAATAGGTTGTAGCAGACATCAGAGGACGTGAGCAGGTTCTAATTTTGCACTTCGAAGGTGCACGCATGGTGCACCATACTCGTATTCTTCAAGGTTCCGGCTTCAAGAGAAGCGTTCGCGTTTGCGCTTGCGATAGGGCGGCTTGCGGAAGCAAGTGATCGCTCCGAAAGCTGGGAGAGTGTCTTCACGTGGAAGACCCCGCCCACCTGCTAGTTTCCCTTTTGGATTAGCCCTTTTTCGCCGTTTTCGCGCTCTCCAGTATACTATCGGATTCAGCACAGCGACTAGGCCCGTAAGCAAAATCTCACAAAATTTTACGCCCGGGCACTGCATTTGACTTACTCGACGACATATGCAGCCATATGCAGAATTTGCTAGCATTGTTGTATTATTCGGTCGTGATGGGTACAACATCACCCGTTGAGATTCTTTTGCTCATGCTTTCTTGAAGTATCAGCATCGTTTTTTTATTCTCTAAACATTTGGGATGACTGGACTTATACCGACTCGTAATCCATATCAAAATTCATAATTCGTAAATGAATAAATGTCGACTTTCACTGTGAAAATTCCTTGTCAGTCCAGATCCTTAAGACTTATCTCGAGTAGTCTACAGAAACAAGAGAATATGTCAGATAAACTGCAAGAAGAGGAATTGTAACAGTTTCCGACGCACTTGACTGCATGGCAATGGGAAATTAACAAGTTTGGACTCGTATAAAGTTGTGGTATTGACGGCAATAGTCTTGTCAACTCATATGTGATGTGATTTTAGTGTTATTCACGGTACTTTTCGTTATCCGGACCCATTTTCTCAAAGAACGATACTACTTTTTTCCTCGTACCATACTTGGTCCCATCTTCACAGGAAAGAGTGTCAACCTTCCTGCCACGTGCCAATAAAATTTGACAAGTCATTCACATGTTTGACAGGTCTAACCTAGAGTTTGAGTGCCCTACCTAACGAAGTGAGTTCTATCTGTTTAGTCGATAGTGGCCCCATTTTTGATTGAACAGTATCAAAAATGTTATCACATATATCATTGTTATCATAGTAAGTCATTTTGCTATTAGTGAACAGATTAGACTTGCCCAGAAAAAAGAAGTGGGCTAAGGTCTCATCGTCTAAGTGACAAAACAAGTAGGTACTAGGGAGGAACTTCAAGCCATCATTTATAGTCTCCTCTGGCTATATTCGCAAGGCAAAAGTTTGAAGAGAAAGACGATGAGGACTCATTGCTGAAAATGAAGAAGGTCTCCTAATATAAGTTCTAGATTGTTTTGCTCTTATAGAAAACAATCAACAGCTTTTAGGTGATCACAGATGCCCTTTTGCCTCACAGGAAATGATTTCTAAAAAACATGTCAAAATGGACCAAAACGTGTCAATATTTTTCTGACACTTGGCAGGGAGGCAGTCGTTGTGGAATCTTTGAAAAATTATTCTTTGACTATAGAACGCGTTTTATGAAAGCCTTTCAAAAAAATGGGTCCGGACGGAAAAGTACCTTATTCACACCCAGCTGCAGCATGACTGTTCATCTTTTCTCGTTCACATCACATCTCTTTATCTACATCTATGTAGCGTAAACTGCAGTTTATTTTTGCCAGGTTTAATTCAAAAAACCTCATTAATCTACTTACTATTTGTAATAGTACTTATAATAGTTATGCAAGCAGAACATATACTGATCCATTTTGACGAAGTGTTGGGGAAAAACTAGGTTTAACTATGACGAAGAACGAAAAGTGCGTAGTGCTCTTTTCAAGCTCATCAGAACGGGCATCACCAAATATTTAAGCTACACCCACCTAGGTTGGTATGCCAACACACGAGAAAACCCGACTTCAAAACTGTGTAGGAAAGTGCTGCATGAGGAACAGAGATAATCAATGTGAAGAAGAAGAAGAACAAGAACATGTGGTCCCGCATCCATTTCATCTGTTTGACCTTACTTCTTGCTCTGACGTTCAATTTAGTATAAGGATGAAGGACGAACATGCGATCCTCAACAGACGTGCTGTGAATAGTGATGCTCGGAATAAGTCATTCTATGTAGGCAAAAAACGAATATAGACCCGATCTACGCCAGAGAATGGAAGGGCAAGATGCGTAATAATGCGCTTTGACGACAGTCGGTGGTCCAGGCTGTAACAGAATGAATACCAGTAGTCGAAAGAAGAAAGAAGACCGCCAAACCAATGCTCATGCCTTCTTCAAAGCGCTCCACAGTGTTCCTGGTGCGATACGAAAACAATGGTGAACCATCGCCCCCGAAAGGAATAATAATAAGAATATGTTCTCTCGGTACCCGAAAAACCCTGAAAACTTACTGTGCCTTTAAGTGCACTTCAGCCACAAGTTGTGTGTACCGCAACGGGCAACCCGTGTAGTTGACATCCTACAAAGGGTTGGGCCCTCTTCTCGCCTTACCCCTTATCCTCCTTATAATTTCACATGTCCTTATAGGTTACAACCACTATGAAAGCAATGCCCAATCAAAAACTGACCTGCCAAAGGAATCTAGGGCAGTTGAACTCACCTGATTTATTAGCACAATTCGAACATTTAGGATTTTTGTGTAATGAACGAGTAATCGTACAGCAACAGATTCAAAATCCTGGTCATAACGTATTTGCGCTCCTCTCAAGCGACGAAGCACGCTTTGTGTGGTGCCGTGCTCATAAATTTCGACTACATAGCCATCATAGCCAAACCCGGAAACTGACTCCCATGTGATACTCACATGAACGCATGGGGGCTAAAAAGTGAAACGAATTTTTGTGCACAGTCAATGATACAAGATGGTACATACACCAATACTCGACCTCAAATCCTAGGGTATGTGATCGATACCAATACATCACCCTCTCGACTTTAGCCTTTGCCCGTGACGCCAGCGAGTAACACTCTTTGCTCAAACACATAAAACGCATCAAAGTAGTGAATGGAAGATGGCGCAGAATAGCCAATTTGAGATCCACTGGTAGATCATGCCATTTGTTAAATTCACGGTTGTTTGACATGTGCACAAACTGAAACAAATTGGAATGTTTTGTTCAATGGTACTTCGAAGATAAGGCATGGAAATTTGCACAACTTGAAATTTGGTACAAGGATGTAGCAAAAATAAATTATGTTGAAAAGCACAGACACAAACCACAGCCAGAATCGTGGATCAAACAACTCGCCGGAAAGAATGCAGCATATCTAAATAGCATAAAGCTGCACTTGTTGGGTAACGACGATGAACCGAGAAGGATTACTGTGAAGATATTAGTAGCAAAAATTGGAGAAAGAATGAAACACCAGTTTTAGTTAATCACCAAAATAAACAAAAGGATAACGAGAAAAGCTGCATGTCATTGACTAAATGTCAAATGACTCATGCGGAGTAGCTAAAAAAGCTCAGTCCACGTCTTATAGTTTCTAGAATACAAGTGTGCCATTTGATAAGGCTTTCCATGGATGTGTATGGCACTTAGCAAGCAATCGTTCAAATTTCTTCTAAGGGACCCCAATTTCTCGGAAGCCGAGTAACTTGATAATAACAACTATCGTTGCCTTTGGTATTCGTTACTGATAACTGAACAAGATTTCTCAGTAGGTTTGTGATCGTCATACCAGAGTGGATTCAAAACCTGGGACATCATACACTGTATCCTATTACATGAAAGCGCATGTAATCGGTATGAAATCAATCAGTAAACGGAGTATGAGGTTGTATGCAATGAAATTTGGATCAATTTACAAGTTTTGGGTGTACTAAGGAGCAGAAAGTTCGACATTAAGGTACAGCGGAGCGGAATGTTCCAGCTCTTAAACGGTCAGCTCCTTGGGGTCGTGCCTAGGCAAATTTAGGCACACGGGTCTTTAAAGGCAGCGTTCACCCAAAACCGAAACCACCTAGAATAGCATTTATTGTCAAGCGGGCCTTGGAGTATCCGATCTGCGTTGGTCCGATCCTTTGATTTGGCTTTTAAAAGGAGATACGGACTGTGATACGTATTACAAACCGCCTCTTATATCGCAAACCTCCCCACGAGGACGAGTACTCACGCATCACTCGATAATGGAGTGCAACTACACCCATGCAGTTGCAGCTCCTCCCCGCAGGCAAGCCGAGGTGTTAATGCGAAACTCGCCCGCGCCCTTAACACGTTTCGGACCGCGAAATCGCGCGCGGCGAAAAAAAGTGCACTTTCGGCAGTTAGCCAGCAAAGGAACCTTATTTCGCAGACTGTGGACTACATCTGTAATCAGCATGTCAAATAAGTTCCATAGACGAAGTTCTGAGTGAATTTGAAGTGTTTGAATTTTGTCGCTTGAGAGGGACTTTTGTGCTTTCCTGAATGATAGGAGCAAGAACTCAGTTTCAAATAGTATTCAAAAGTATCTATGTTGTACACTGTAATCGTCACTATTGAAACTACGGTTTATCTCTTTGAAATCGGCAAAGAAAAGTTGCGACGTCGCACGCGTCGTTCGCGTTGCCGCACTTCGTTGCGACTGTTGTTCGATTTGTCCTTATATCTCGTAAACAAATATCGGCTGCATAACTCTACAGAGTCATTTAGAAAGTAAAAGCTTAGACCTTTGACTCAATAAATTCGGACTAAAAGAAAACTTCCTGTAAACGTCAAAAAGATCTTCCAAAGCAGCGTGCTGCACCATGTGCAGCACCGGTCCGAAACGTGTTAAATAGGGTTCCCAGGAATAGGGTTTGGGACAATTTGAAGTTTATAACTGTAATCAGGGCCGCGGAAAGGCCCTTAAATGGCAAAAATGTGGGAGGCGAAGTTTGGGTAAACGCTGCATTTAAAGTGAGGAGAGGAAGGGGGAAAAGTTCGTTATGCCCGAAAATCCACCTTTGATCCCGAAAGGCGCCTTTTGAACACAGTATCCAGCCCCGTGCCCTGTCCTAACACGTCGCGCAAGCTGCAAAACTTACCTCCCTCCTTCCCCCCGCTATGCTTGTTTAAGCGACCACCGCACCATTTGTCGCGCGCGGCGGCAGTTCTGTATAAGGAACACTGACGGCATTACGCCGATCCTAATTTGTCCACACCATTCAAACCCGTTCGGTACCGTATCCCCCGCTTGATCCGCGCCGTTCTCGCGTGCTTTCGTTGGAATGCCCAAAAGATCCATATTCACTTGGTTTATCCCATTTTCCCTTTCATAATAGAGTTTTCAGACTTTTCTGTATAGTTTAGTATTGGAGTGATTCGAACCAAATAATGACAAAGCCTTTACAAATTGATTATGAAAAAATGTAATCACACTCTGGTTTTGCGGCTCGAACTTTAAAAAAGTATGGCCAACGTGCTGCCCCCCCCCCCCCATCATGTTAGGTTCATGATGCATGAGGTTTATCTCAATAGGACGGAATGACTATTAATTTTTCAACTTACTTGACCACTTTTGCTAGTTATGGACATTCATAACATGCACACACCAATCAGTATTGGTTTGCTGCCAGGTTACACTAATCCATTTGCATGTGCTGACATTTCCTGAAATTTTTGTAAAGTTTTGCCATACAGTACGCTTACATGCCAATTATGCCGAACAACAGAGCAGGGCCCGGCACGAGGTGGGCAAACGACAAGCTGGAAATCGTTTTTGGTGGAAAAAGCAAGGGAATCGTTTTTGCGGGGTCCGGAGCGGAGCCTCGGAAGAAAATTCCAAATGCAAGCAAAAGAAGGTCTCATGTTCATTACCTTATACATCTAATTCATTGGGAAGTAGTTTTCATAAGCCTCGACGCACAGAAGAGTTCGCGCGCGCTACGCCGCACCGCCGCTAACTGCCGCGTGCGCCACGTCGCATAAGCGATGCCGTTGAACAGCATGATTACATGATCAGTTTGCAATGCAGGCGTAACGATATAGCACCAAATTACGTAAGCGAACGAAGGGAGGCTAGTAGGAACAAAGCATGAAATATTATGAAAAAATTATGTGAATGGTAGGTGTAATAAGCATTTTTTCCAAAAATTTTGCAAAACTAGTAAACGAAGATGTGAATTCAAATGGCTCGTTTGTAGCACACAGATAACCAGACGGTATGAAACTTGGTAACTAAAAGTTTCGTTGAAAATTTTTGTGACTGAAGGTTGTGGCAAGCTTTTTTCTGAAATTTTCCCACTATCATAAAGATGGAAAAATTGCTCGTTTGCAGCGCAGAGAAAACGAAATCGCGCGAGACTTGGTGTGTATACGCGCAGTAGGACTAAGGAATAATGTATGAAAATTTATGAAAAACTTATGTGAATGAAGAGCGTGCCCAACTACTTTTCAAATTAGGTGGGCAATTGCCCACCTAATGCCAACCTGAGGTAGGCAAAACTTTCAATTCACATAACCTTTTTCAAAATTTTCACATAAATATGTTGTGCACCCAAAGCTTACTATATGGTAGGATTTTGGTTCCGAAACTCCTCTTCTTGTCTTTGTTAGAGCTCAAAATCGCATCAGCAGCCAAGCTTTCCAAAGAGGAAAGCGCGCTCCGGTCAATCGATACCCGGGAACGGCATCTCTCAGTAATATAACTGCGTTAATTTGATATTTCTTCACTCCTTCATCATTTTTCCTGCTTATTCTTCTTCCTATTCGTTATCTTGATGAAGGTGAGGAGTGATTAGAACAATTTAAGCGTTTTTGAACGCTTTTGAGCGCTTGTAGACGAAGTGTGGCCGGTGCTCTCGTTGCACAAGCACCAAGCATCCTTTTGGGCTCAAGGGGGTATTTGTAAAAAATTTTGGGATCAAAGGGGATGTCGTTTTGGAAAGCCCATTTGCCCACCTCGTGCGGGGCCCTGCAACAGAGCTGCTTAAGCCTAAAAGGTACCACTCAGAGTCCATGTCTCCAGATGATCATGCAGTTCGAATGTAATCCTTCGAAGTAAAGCATGTGCGTTGCTGGTCTGGTCCATTAACTCAACCCCTAAAAAGGATCTAAAAGAGGATTTCACCTACCATTGTTCACTCGAAACTGCCACAGATTTGTGACCTTGTAGGTGTTCTAGTTTTCGAGATATATCAGTTCAATGGTTCGAATATGAAAAGACTTATGGAACAACCTAATGTGATACATAGGGATTTACGCACTTAGATGACCCGTTTTCACATAGAGTGCAGGCCTTATAAGGAAAGGATACTAAGTTAGTTGGCGATTGAGGATGAGATGTATTCAGTAGACGCGCCTTTGAACCCTGAGCGGAATAAATTTCCGAAAGAAGTTGTGAGCGTTAAACGTCCAAAATTTTCACGGTTTGGGTGGCTCAAAATTGGCAAAAACCTTCAAACATTACCTATGCAATTTCGACCGGCTTTGTCCCCTTGCAAATAGTATGCTCGATAGAAAACTGATTTCCCACTTTTTGGTGATTTTATACAGCTTTTCGCCTATTTTAAGCCACCTAAACCATGACAAGTTTGGGCTTGCAAACGCTCAAAAGTTCCCTCGAAAACTTGTTCCGCAAAAAGGAAAAGGAAAAAGCAGATTTGGAATCAGCATTCAAACATGTATCTCCTGATATGCATCTCATCTTCGATCGCCGACTAAGGGTGCCTTCATACCGCGCCGGTAGCCGCCGCAGGCAGCCCGCAGCAGCCGCCAGCAGCCCGTAGCAGCCCGTAGCCGCCGTTGGCCGCTTTTGTCACCATACGCAAAATCATCAGATTCTTACCAATTCGATGCACCCGCCTCTGCTTTTGATCTTCCGCGCTTTTTTCTCCCTGTTGCCGACTGTAGGTACTTAGACCTCAAAAATTAGACATTGTTACAGCTACTATACTTGTGTCCATTTTTGTCTATAAATCGGCGGCAAAAGGAAGAAAAAAGCGTGGAGGATGAGAGGCATAGGCGGGTACAATCAAATTAGTGATAATCTGGTGATTTTGAGTATGATAACAAAAGCGGCCAACGGCGGCCACGGGCTGCTAAGGGCTGCTGGCGGCTGCTGCGGGCTGCTAGAGGCGGCTGCGGGCGCGGTATGAAGGCACCCTAATGTTGGTATCCTTCCCTTATTAGCACAGGACCACTTGTCTCTCCTCGCTTGAAATCCACGATCTTCTAGTTAGCCATCAGTGCCAGTCTCCGCGGGTTTCAGGTGCAAGAATCGTACCCAGCTGATATCGATGATGAATCATCCGTCCCACAAATAATTCTGCTCATCTCTTGGTGTTCTATTTCAAGTACGCTTTGCACTGCGGAGAATGTCTGATGTTCTCATTACCCATCCGTCGTCTGCTCCTCTCATGATGTGATACATAAGAACATGAAATATAAAGTCTTCGTTGTTTGCTCCGCTTATGGCACGCCTTGTGCGTAACACATAAAATAAATATAAAAATACACTCTGTTCTAGGTCGTCGACATAGCACATGAAGTGTAAAGTGTAGAAATAATAGATGTTAATTCTCATCCCAAGTGATCTTCTAGACAACAGGATGTCAAGAGTAATATTTCAGTTCACAATATCCACCCGAATTTCTTATGCGCAGATTTCCATGTCCACTGTGAAGTGATTTAGTTATGTCGAACTCTCTGTAAAGAACAAACGAGAATTTGCAGGAGTGCGTCTGTTGCTTACCCAGGTACATCCACGTCCTCAATCTTTGCTGGATCAATGCCCTCAAGTAAGATGTCCCATAGAAACATCTTGGTAGTGCAAAAACGCATACAGACAATTGTGCGTTCTCCTCTTAGCCACTGCTGCAAAAAAAACAATGATGAGAAACTTCAAAAAGAAATAGACCTTTTGCGTTAGTGTATCCAACGAGCGACTCCGATGACTGTCTTTACATGTCGCGCACGCAGTGAATCTCCTTTCTCTTTTGACTACTCAAAATTCTACATGGAAATGATCTGTAGAGTACATTCGCGCGCAAACAGTGTGCCAGTGCAATTGCCAAATTTTCGTTTTTCGATTTCAGATGGTCCAGAAAACGTTTTTTCTTAGTTAACTTTCTATGTACGAATATAATAGAGAACGTCAATAAAATATTGACGAGATGTTTTGCTTATTTACTTCAATTTTACGAGCACAAAACGTACCTGTTTTTCCTAAAGTCGGCCAGGAACACACCAAAGAATTTCGAGGCCAGAGGACTATCATACTACTCCTTACTCAAAGTAATTGTATAGAAGAGCGACCATTTCGCATGGCATTGTGGCGCGGCTGAACTACTGCTTGAAAAAAGAAAAAGATGCGTCTTGTACTCGTGAAATTAGGGTGATCCATGCTCAGTATGTTTCTGATAGAAAGAGATGGAATGTCAAAGTAATGAAGCTTTAATAGATTGCAGGTAAAAATTCGGGTTTGATTTTGAAAAACCTCTGTATTTCGATACTTCTAATAAGTCGCTTGTCACTATCGTCATGCTCAGCCATGTTGGATTAAAAAATCAACACACGTTGTTTAGGGTCAGAAGTACGGCCTTTGAACCATGCTCCCACGATAAAATCTTTTGCCAGATTAAGTGGAATTTCCTGCTAAAAGCCGCTGAGGTTTTTTTTGTAGAGAACAAAGTAATCTAATCTATGCAAAAGCATCTTTTAAATAAACCCTCAGATTTTCCAAAGGAATCGAGACTCGCTCACTGCTCTTCTTTGTAAGAACAGAAAGAAGTATGGTTCTCTCAGAGTACATGCTCGCGAAAGCATTTTTTGCTAAATGCCTCTTAGCTTTTCGTCCCGCGAGGCCAATGTATTTCTGCTGAGGTCCTAAGTAGATATGAAACAAAGGTATTCTTTATTTATATATTTTTTCTTAGAAGCAGTCGAGTTTTTTCGTACTGCGATAACTTGGCTCTCAACAGCCATGGCCTTTTGATATGGGATGCATATCATCTGAAGCGGGCTCGAACGCTGATTCTAAATCTGCTTTCCTTTTCTGCGGAGCGCTCTTTTAAAGAGAATTATGGAAGCCTGAAAATCCTATTGGGGCGTTCTCTTCTTTAAAAACTTCTACAAAATTCGGGAAAAAACTTGACCTTGGGGTGTGTTTGGAACTTTACTTCTACCCCGAAGAAGAGCAATGAGAGAGACTTGATCCCTTGGGGAAATAGTCGAACTTCTTGCAAGGAGAAGTTTCGCAAAAATGCCTCTGTTTTATAAGATACTCTCGCTTTACCTGGCGAAAAGTCCAGCTTCGCGAGCATGTGTCTAGAAAATTCCCTACTTCTCCCTAAACAGAAAAGCGAGCGATTTGGCTCCACAGGAGGACAGCAGGGCTCAGCACAGCTGGCACCGGGTCAAACTGGATATCGTTTTTGGGCTGAAAGCAGAAAGGATATCGTTTTTGCGGGTTAGCATGCTGCCGTTTGCTAGAATGCCAGGGACACGCCGCCGACACGCTGCCTGAAAGCTGCCGGCATGCTAGCGGCATGTTTAGTGTTTATACCGCTGGTATACGGCATGCCATTGGTATACCGCCGACATGCCGGTTCTAACACAGCGCGAGAATTTGAATCCTGCCCAGGACAAACAAAAGCCTTGTTTACAAACAAAACGCAATCATTTCAAAAGTCCGACCTTCTTTGAATCTTGGCATGGTAACTTGTTATCGATTATACTGTCAACGACTGCTATCGGCGCCCCTCTGGCGGAGGATCGTGGGTGAGTCAAGGATCATATGTGATGGTATCCGTTCTAATGCTAAATCTAGGCTACAGAGGAAGTTTGAGAGATTAATAGATCAAAGCTCAAATCATACACGAAGAGCAGCTGATAATACTAATAGTCAAGAAAACCACCAAAACGAAGCCACTTCTAAAACTAAATGCTTAGGTTCCCGGGTTTCTGCTATTGGTAATGCACTCATCTCTAATAACGCGCTGTCCGTTTTAGATCTGGGCCCAAGTTTCTCACCTGTGCAATCAATTGGCCCGATGGTTGTACGCAAGATCGTGGGTAGTCTCCAATATGTCCATGACTGCTTGCGCTACAAAGCAAAGTGCGAGGAACAGCAGCAGCTGCGACAAGACCTATGCAATAGAAACTTACCGGTGCCGCCCTTCCCTAGTTTGATGTTCAAGCCTCAGGAGCCTGCCCCTTCTGTGGATTGCAATTTCAGACAGTTCGCTAATTCGGTTTACTCCGTTTTGCAACGCTTATCTCAAAAACATCCTAATACCAATCTCACGCGCGCACAAAGACTTGGTTTGCAGGAACTGCGTGATCTCTGCTCTTGTGGAGAGATCAGAGTTTCGGTGAGCGATAAGGGAGGCGATTTCGTAGTTATCCCACGTGATCTAGACATGACCATAACCAGACACCACTTAGAGGACGACAGTTTGTACCGCCCATCGTCTAGAAAAGAGTTCGAAAAACACTATCGCCGCCTAAACAGCGTCTGGGTAGAGACCGCGAAAACAGCTGGGCTTCCCAAACATCTGACCTCACGTCTAAAATGCGATCATCCCACCTGTCCCGTTCTGTATGTGCTGATAAAGACTCACAAGCTTGAAAGTAGTCTTTTTGCCTCGCTGGACCCACGCACGTACAAAGTAAGGCCCATCATTAGTAGTATAGGAAGCCCCACGGACAGGATAGCATGGCTTCTCAACAAAATTCTTTCGCCTCTCCTTAGGCATGTTCCGGCTCATCTTGCAAACACCAGCATGTTTTTGGACAAGTTACTCATGGAATCCTTCGACGTAACGTCATTGTACACCAATGTGTCCAACGAAGCAGCCATGCAAGCAATTTTTGAACTTCTCTGTGAACATCAGCAGACCATCAACTTATACGCCTTCACTACGGGGCAGGTAATGACGATTCTTCAAGAATGTTTGAAGTGTAGCATTTTCCGTTGGGCAGGGCAGTATTACAAACAGATACGAGGTTTAGCTATGGGGCAGCGGCTAGCCCCCACACTAGCCATCGCTTTCATGTCGAAAGTGGAAAACCCCATCCTACAACGTCAACCTCTCCTATACTGCCGATACATAGATGATTGCTGCATAGTGTGTTCAGCCCAGGCGGAGTTGAACGCTTGTTTCGAATTACTCAATCAGCAGTCATCCCATATAAAGTTTACTAGGGAAAAGCCCAAGGACAGCTGGCTACCATTTCTCAATGTGCTCATATATCTAGCTAAGAGAGAATGGAAAACGAAATGGTACAGAAAGCCCAGCAATAAGAACATTTTAGTCCACTACCTTTCAGCACACCCTTGGTCCATCAAAAAATCGGTCATCGCAAACATGTTTAGACAGCAAGGAAAACCGCATCGGGCACTGAGGAACGTCTGGCGTCAATACAGCTCGCCTATCAAGTGGCAAAATGCAACGGTTACTCCATTAAGGCATGCAGTCGTTCTCGAGTTCGAATAGTTTAGAGGGACGAGAGGTCGCTCGAAAACAAGATCCCCTTTTGTCTGCCTTATGTGTCGGAAGAGTTGAGCAAGGCCATTACATCATGCTTACGCCAGGCAGGTTTAGAGGACTCTGTAAGAGTCGTGGACATCCCGCCTAAGAATCTGAAGCGGCAGCTAGTTCGAAACCGACTCTATGACCGTCTTTGTGAGAACCCCAGCTGCGTAATTTGCCCCTCTGGCAGAGATGGAGATTGCAATGTTTCCGGTGTGGTTTACTTGATAAAATGTCTATCATGTGGGGATGAGTATATTGGGGAAACGGGACGGACTTTGGCAATTCGGATAAAGGAGCACCTGGACGGCCTGAATAAGTCAAAATCCTCGACGCCATTGGGTGCACATCGTCAAAAAGATCACAGCGATGCTGCATTCGACGTAAGAGTCACGATCTTGTCGTACGAAACCGAAATTGTGGCACGCCAAACACTCGAAGCGTTTTGGATTATGGCTAAAAACCCAAAATTAAATAGGAAAGACGAGTGCATAACAGTAACAAACGAGCTTGCGTCCTACCAAACTTTATGCAAGTTTGATCTACAGGAGTAACGAGGTTTGCGTTGGCGGGCTGCGTTGGCGGGATCCTCTAGCATAAATATGTAAAGTACATAATGGCTAATAGTAGGTCTCTCATACGGGTGGTCTTGGCTACAAAAATCACTGCATTACGGTGAGTGCTCCTTCGTGTTCGTTTCTACTAGCTTTGATCTCATTTGATCTCTTGTATGGATCTCTGGGGTCAGATGAGGCGTTTGAGGGGGTACGTCATGAGTGATCTTTGATTTCCAGGCTCTGACGAGGGCGAGGATGCCGAAACGTCGGCCATCAATAAAGATCTGCCATCTTGGTCGCGCTTAAGCAAATAATCGATAACAAAACGCAATCATCTGACACCAAATTTGGTGCGTGCATGCGCGTTGGGTTCGCGTTCGCTTTGCTCATGTAAGTTTTCATACTTTTTTTACATAAATAGGATCTTCATTGTAGATGGTCATATAGAGAAAAACGGTATCATAATATCTCCTCCAGGCTTCTTTACAGTCCCCAAAAGATCTTCATTGAAGCTCTGCTCCAATCGCAAAGCACGCCCTTGTGAACTGACGCGCGAATCCTTCATTTTCGCTGGGCGCTCTTTGTCCTTTTCCCTTATTATCTTTTTTTCTGTCTTTTTTGTTATTTTTTATTTCCTTGTTTGTCCCATCTGCAGAGGAGGTTGGAGAGGGCGAGGTGGAGGGGTGGGAAAAGGGGTGAAAGAGGGGAGCCGTAGGTCTTTCGATTTTCGGCTTTTTGCGCTTTATTTAGGGTTGGGTCACAGTCCCATCCAGAATGAAGGACA